AGACATGTAAGCATGGGGTCTGTGGTGGCAGCTCGCATAGGACACTCAAGCAGAGCTGCGCGACCAGTACGGTACACAACACGACCACCAGGGTTGCTCCGAAGCAAACCATTATAATGGTGCAAAGTAAATGTATCAGGAGCACCACGTTCACAACCCGGAAAGAATTCATCCATAAATGCACTTAATAGAATGATACCCAGGTTCTCGGAGTCCAGTTTTCTTCGCATTAATTCTACATATTCAGGTTCACTTACAAGATCTGCAGCACACAACACATCTTGAAGTGCAGCAGATGGTATAAAATTATTGCCCTCGGGATCAAAGGAACGAAAGATACGTTCAGCTGATTCACCAGCAGTCTCTGGTGCTGCCAGCCGTCGCTCCAAAGAGAAAAGCACAGTCAAGTGTGTCTCAGATGCTAAAACCCATACAGGATGCTTAGGATTTTTATAAAAAGAGCCAACTGTGCAATATTGCATATGCTCCATTATAGTAAGGAAACCTATATCATTCTGTCTTTCAATTCCTCTCAATCGCAATCCACCTACAACTTGGTCATGGTCCCAGACATGTGCTACTGCTCGGCCAGTCAACATAAGATTAATGAGCCCTTGAGACCCATACCCATATGTTGAATGTATCAAGGGATCAGATAATTCGGCCAGTTCTGCTTCTACTGTGCTGACCCCTTTACTAAGAATGACACTGTACAACAGTAGCAAAACGCCATATTTGTCCTTCAAAATGCGTATGTTCCTAGTGTAGAAAGCTTCAACTTCCGATAACGTTTGAAATGAGTGAACTTCAATCCTTCTGTGAAAATGGTCAATTGCATCACAAGATTGTTCTTCTACACTCACATTATTGCCAGCGCTGGTGTTTGCTTCTGTATCATTCTTACGATACACAGCCACATTGTACTTAGAAACTAGGCACTGGCTTATTATTGTACACACAGCCCTAACCAGCAAAGAATTGCACTTTTCAGATGTCAAGTCCTGAAAACTATGTCCTGGTGTCTCAGACAAAAGAATCTTGAGAAGAAAACCTTGAACGGGAGCAATAGCTGCACATGGGCCGCCTTCCTGTTGGATGAGAGCGCTTGGCTCGTCGGCGCTGAACTGGAATCCTTGCGCCCAGCGCCGAAATACATCTTCTTTTACATGCTCGCCCCATAGCAGACGCCGTGTGCTAGCCAGCTCATGCTCTAGCGTCGCACTTCCGGCGCTCATATTACTTTTATTTTCTTTAGCTTCAGTGGAACTAATATTCTCACTTTCGTTCGATCCGTTTAACATTTGCACAGTAGCTTACACCACCTGAAACACGATAAAAACAAATTAATCCTTATGATTTTAAGCCACCAAAAAGCCACTAACAAACCGGAATTAATGAAAGAAAAAATTAATATTAGCAAAAGCTACATGTACAAAGAGAATATAACCACGTAAGTAGTACTTACTGCAAATTCGACGCTCATAGTAGTTTTCAACGCTGGTGTATTATGTACTTGTTATAGAAAACAGGTAACCCTCATGAATCTTCTCAAATAGCATTATAATTCATCCATAAATCGGTATTTAAAAACTTTTCATAAAGAAAAAGAAAAGCTTACGACATAAAGGCTGCCATTTTTTACGAAAAATAGCAACATTTTATTTTGATGTCATTCCGATCCAATGTTGCTATGTACAAAATCTGGGAGACCGTTTTGGTAAGTTCACTCAAAAAATACATTGCGAAAATAGAATAGAATCAATTTTATTCAATTCGAATAAAAATTATTCTTTTTATATTATTCTATAATTAATAATAATATTTCAATAGATTACAAGCATACTTATTGATTGAGTCATTTTTTAGTTTTACCACTTGAAAAGGAACCAGACAAACGTTAACTAAGAAACAGAAGGGGGGAATCGAGGCTTCTCTCGATCCGGCCTCCTATAACGCCTACGTTGGGTTCGGGAACAACGTATGTGATCTCCGCAACAGAGTAACACACAAGGGCGATAACCTCTTCCTTTTCAGAAAATAGGTTCAGGCGGGGATTACGGGTCTTCCGAAGTCGTCCCGGTCCCAATGCCTTAATTCTTCGATATGGACTGTATCAATTTAAGGGGAGAATTCATCATTCTTGGGAATAAAACAGCAATTATCTTCAAACCGTTCCGTGAGAGAGTAATTACTTTTCCCTATCACTTCCTTATACTTTTTCTTTCTTCTTCTTATTAACTGCTGGTCTTGCACTTTTCCCGAACGATTTGCAAGAAAAATCAATTTACTGAACTACCTCGAAGCTAACGCTAAAGTGAGTCGCGCCATTTGTGCGCTTGCGCAACTCAATTACATCAATTTGTACTATCACTCTCTCACGGTTTGCTCAATAACTTTATTTGTATAAGACATACATTTATACAATTTACTTATAAAGATAGCACAAAAAATATCTATACTACGATATACATTACATTTTCATATCACAAAAAATCCTTTATTTATTTAACAAAATATGCTTATTTTACTCACATGTTCAAAGTTGGAATTTCTTAAATATTTAACATAGAAAGTTAAAACAATGTTTTCCACTTGAAATTATACATATCTTAACTAATACAATAGTTTAATTTACATTTTCTCCATACATTTCACTATTAAAACACTTTTAAATTTCTTATACAAAACTATCATTATTTCACTTATTCACAGGAATTTTCACATAAAATAACACAGAATTCACCTCTTTTACACGTACAATCAATCTGAAATGTTTTACAAGTCATTTTACATAAATTGCTGAAATTTGCAAATATTTAAATTTCTACATATTTGGCCTCCTAAGTACGTGGCTAGCGTGCGTCTATGAACACACACTATTTGAACAACTTTTGCACGGCTATCGACTATCAGTAAAAATGGGAAGTTTAGTATACACTAATATCAACAATACTAGGCGAATAAATGATTCTACTCAATTCTCAAACGCCGAAAACTACCTCTAATCAGATTCTTATCAGTTATCATGTTTCTTATCAAACAATATAAGTGAATGTTTTCATAAATCAGTCATAGAAAATAGGCAATTGTTTTCACACAAAACATATCAAACTCATATAAGACAATACTTATGCAATTAATTTCCATTAATTCTACTTATGCACAGCGATTCTCTCGACCGGGGAACAAATCCTGGTCTCTAACTTTATTTTAAAATTTCTTTAAATTAACAATATTGGAAAGATGATTTCGACCGGGGAACAGATCCGGTAACATAATTTATATCTTAAAAATTCCCTATATGAATTTATTAAGAGATATTACTAAGAAAACGATAAACTATTCCGGCCTGGGAGTCGAACCCAAGACCTTCATATCATTAATTCGATATTTCTTTAAGATTCAACTAAGCATTTTCTTATCGCAATATTGTTGCTTGATAATATGCCTTTTAGAAGCCATTCGTAATCGGTTAACTAATAAATTGAAATATTCTTATAGGCGCGTCGCCAACACCACTGGTTCGGAAAAAACCAGTGGTGTGTGTAGTAGTGGGTTTAATAAAGTTCTGTCCTGGGAAGAACCAGCAAGAAACCCAGCAGAACTTTTTTAATTAAAATCTTTTTACAATAATATATTATTTTATACAATTCGTAGGAAGACATTAGAAACAGCATGGCAGCAATCACCTCATTACCAGGGGTCTTTATGAATATTGTACTCTTTGGACGTATAATTTTAACATTTTGATAAATAAGGCGTGCATATTTTCTGGGACTTTGTTGTAAAAGAGTTTACGTTGCCCCATGAAGGAATTACTGACTCTTTGGAGTCGAATAACTGGTTTATCTAACTTGTGCGCGTTCCTAGTATTTACAGAATGTACATCACTATTTTTAATAAAATATTTTTGTTTTTGTATACATACATTAAATTTTTGTAAACTTATGGAGAGGCCATAGTTAACATATACACTTGGACAAAAAATCGGTGATTGGCTGATTGGATCAGTACATATAGTTTGCATTTTTTTTTACGCACAAATTACTTTTTTACTAGCAAACCTGGAATCATTAGGTAATTAAGAACATTAAAAAAACTTGGAGATGAATACCACATTTATTTGATACAAATCTAGAATTTTATATAAGATTTTTTTTATTGAGTATGTTGGATATTATCGTTATCCTAATAAAATATTCAGTTGGTCACATTGTATTGCTTTTGTCAATTTTCAATAATATTACATGGTGAGATGGGATTCCTCGTTTGAAGAGAATTTCGACTCCTGATGAGGAGAAAAGATAGAAAGAGCTTGAAAGCGAAAAAGTTTGAAAATCGCAATAATATGGACTGCTACATTGTACTTTATTCCTAATTTAATAAATAATTTGATAAAAAATAACACCCTAACTCATCAAGTACCGTCAGGCATTATATAATATAATGTATTCTCTTGTAGTTCGTATAGTATTTGGCATTTTAAAATTTCCTTTTACCTCAAAACTTCAATTCATCCGTATAGTAAATATGAGGAATTGAAGATGCGTGAATAGAGTTTATAGTTGTTATATACGTTTATCTGTAAATAAAGTTTAATGTATTTTATTTAAAGTTCTTGCAGAAGAGATTATATATATTTTATTATTTATTATTTTATTGTTGTGTTACATATATATATATGAAATAAATTACCTATTTGATATGAAATTTGTATTTTTTGGTATGGGAAGCAGAAACTTTTAAAGTGGAAACACTGTTTGTCATACATTTTTTTTAATTTTCCTTTACTTTAGTCATTTAGTCAGTCATGGACGTTGTGCGGTGCGGTGATGTTTGTTTTCGAAATTTATTTTAGTAACAATTATTCTGTTGCGTTTTGTATGATTAATTAAATTAGTGTACTTAAGAATCATTGCTTACAACATGTATTAAAATATTAGTAGCGTCTTTTTGTGTTGTGATTAGTTTTTGTGTGTTTTGTTGAATATTTCAACATAATGAAGGTGGATATAACTGCTTGGAGGCGACGCGCTGCGCTGAACGTAGCAGGTTTGTGCATTCACTTTTCCAATACCTTTTTGATAGCAGATTATCTTCATTTTAAAATAATATTTCAGAAAATATTTTTTTCTATATTTGTCTTTTATTAACCGTATTATCGTGTAGGTAGTTACGTCTGCATTTACTATAAGAGTAGTACCTATGTGGACTTGAAGGCGATCATAAATATATAATTTTAATTTAATTTCTCAATAGCTGTAAAAATATTGTTTATGTTATAAATTGACATTTTGGATTTTTTTTTGGCAGATTTTATTTTATTGCATTGTATTTAATTAGGTCAGGAATTATGTACACACACAAATACAGGTAGCCTTTTTGTTTTGTGCATTACGCTTCTCTATCGCTGTTTTGAATCTTACATCAGATATGTTTGAAGTGGTTGTTCTACCATACTTTTTTTTCTTTTCATAAGTCATTTCTTGCAGCAAGTAGGGTGAGGAAGCACTTTATATTAATAATGTTGAACTATACTTTTGTCCTGTTTCGTTCTTAATAGACCATATTTTGTAGAGTTCATCATGGGTATTAAGGTATTTATGGAGATATTTGCCTAAGATCCTGATCCTGGATGAGGCGGGAGCTCTTGAGTCATGTATATATTGGTTTAATCAAATTCCAAATATGAAATCTTTCCTTTTAATGGTATTTGTTTCTATTCTAAGAACTTTAAAGATGTAGTCACATTTCTTTCCTGAGAAAAGAATGAAAAATACTGATGTTTGACAAATATAATATTACATTATGAAGTCTTGAACCGTTATGACTCATGGTGTTCATCCTTCAAAATTAAAATTTTTGATAGGTCTGGGCTATAACATTGTCAGAAAACCGTAGGTGAGTAATGTACTCACCATTGATGTTAATACCATATCTTTTCCAGTCCAGTAGCTTGAAAATGTCTTCCAATGCAGCGGTGAAAAGTTTGGGGGATATAACCCTATTTTACATCCCTTTGTAGTTTAACATGTTGAACGCCATGTGTTTCTTTTTGGAACACAAAATGCTACCTTCTGAGGTCGCGTGTTTCCTATTGGATATGTGGTCGACCCTTCAGTTCGTGGCCAGTGTATCCACTAAGAAACTCATTTTCATACATTTTACTACGGAATCTTTTACTTCTGGCCTCCACGAAGGTTTCGGTCGGAGTAGTATGACAAAAATAAAAAACACCTATTTTTAGAAATTACATTTATTTGTATTATTGTCATTTCTTTTAGAAACACACAATATCAACAGTAGATAGATAGATAGAATATAACAGGCTGGTATAATTAGTAGTTTTTTTTTTTTTACGAAAAGATAGTTAGTAGAGCTTGTCAAAGAGATCTGTACATAGCAAAACTTGGCAAATAGAGCAAATTCTCTTCGTTTGTTTGGAAAATTTGCGTTTTACTTCAACAAGTTATCCTTGCCTTCCATACATCTTCTAGCCTTCGACACAACGTCCTTTCATCTTTTTCTGAGGGTTTTCCCAGATATTGAAAACCTGTCCATGTCACTTATTTGATGTTGGTTGTGGTGTTAGTGGGCTTTTGTCTTCTTGACGTGAGTATTTGTGAGGCATTCCTCTGATAACTGCCTCCCTAAATTCTGTGTTTTTGAGAGCCTTTCTGCGAGTATTCTCAGAGTATAAAAAGTGAGCATTCACGATGTTGATACCCTACAATACTTAAAAAATAATTTTCTGTACTATTTTGTACAACACCTCAACGCTGAGTTGTACAAAGCCGTCTGATCACTCAAGTCGATGCTAGATTTTCCTGTGTTTTTTGGCAACGGTTTTCAGTTTTGAATGTTTCAAAAAAACATTCAGCACTGAAATCCTCTTATCCCTGCACTACATAACGACAATGCCATCGCTGGTTTGTGTGTTTCCAAAAGTATACACACGGCCTCTAAAGAAATTTTTAAGTAAAAACTTTATCAGAGGCACCGTGTTTCTTTTGGTTTCACACATGAAAAATCATGGAATATCATGGAAAACCAAAATAATTTAACATGATTTTACTATAAGATTAATATAACAATGAAAATTAAGACAAAAAAGGCAGGTTCAAAGACTGAAAAAACATAGTTTTTGGGTTTGCCGGTCAACATGTTAATAGATTCCATACTCTGGTTCTCTATTTACAAACACTTCAGCACTTCAATATACCGTCAGTCGACTTGGCACAGCTGAAGGGACTGCAGCATTGTCTAAATTTCGACAAAATCAAAGGCTTCTCAATAAAATCATATGCACATCTTAATACAGAATGTGGTTTAAACTAGTTTTAAAATAAATAAAAAAGTCAAAATAACCAAAGAATACAACATGCTCAAGCACAAGCCTTATTGCTGTGTCTAAAATGTTTGGCAATATTCAATGGTGGTGGTCACTGCATATGCGCATGCTTCCATATATTTATGCACAAGCGAGAAGACAGGCGCGACAAGAAATTATGAGTCATTGCACAATTTTTTTTTGTGCTTGATGAAAATGGACTCAAGGGGGTACAAGCTCTACCATAGATTTTTATTCTCTTGTGGTGTTAAGAACATTAATTCATCAAGAGAGGAGACTTGCTCAGGAGCTGTATCTCCCACCCTTCATGGGCTTTCATAGCTATTACCATGCCCAAATAAAAGTATTTACCTTTTGAATAATGCTCTCTGTTATGTGTGTGCAGTGTGTCTGTAAAAGTGACTTTCAATAAGTATTGTTATAAACTACATTGAATAAAAAAGTTTCTGTTTCTGTTATACTTGTTATACTATGTTTTACCCTAAATGGAAACATAAAAGTGACAAATAGCCCGGGTCTATTAAAAAATTTGATAATTTTTACAATATTTTACAGATTTTCCTCTGGCAGTGGGTACATACAAGGACTGATTAAAAAAAATGTTGGCTATTAAACTAATGATTTCTTATATTTACAAAATTACGAACTCTATAATTTTAAATAAAACTAGTTTTACGTATTTTATCATGTAGGTTATTTTATATTCCTAACGTTTACCTGGGACAAATAGTACGACTAGGTAAGTCCAACTTCGGTCGAGAGGTCAATAGAGGGATTCAACTCAGCTAGGCAGAATTCGCGAAATTACGACACATCTTCTCTCGTCAGGTATACCTCAAACTCTGAAAACTAGTTTGTACAACCAGTGCGTGTTGCCAGTGATGATTTACGGATCTGAGACGTGGTCCTTCACTGCTGGCCGTATGAGGACGCTTAAGGTCGCTCAACGAGCTATGGAGAGGGCTATGCTCGGAATTTTTCTGCATGGTAGACTCAGAAATGAGGATATCCGCAGTAAAACCAGAGTGACCGACATAGCCCAACGGATTAGTAAGCTGAAGTGGCAATGGACCGGCCTTATAGCTCGAAGAACCGATAACCGATGTGGAAGAAAGGTTCTCGAGCAGCAGTTTCGTACCGGTAGGCGTAATGTAGGGCGACCCCCCACTAGACAGAGTGACGATCTGGGAAGACATGCAGGAAGTCGATGGATGCAGGTGGCTCAGGACCATGCTTTGTGGCATTACTTGAGGGCCTATGGTCAGCAGTGGACTTGTGAAGGACTGTAGTAATGATGATGATGATGAACATTTCGAGTACTTTGCTGCACCCATAGTCACAGGGTCCCCTGAGGTGTTCAACGTCTCAATGTCATATTAACCATGGCTACCTAAAGATTAAAATCATTAATTTTTGTTTTTCATGTATGTATATTGTGTTGAAGCACAGCAACATTAAATAATATTCAACTTAGAATACCAGCATAAAATATAAGGTGCTATTTTATGTTGGTATTCTGCGAGGGAGTGGTCCTACCCCAGTTGAGCCGACCCATTCATGCTACATCCATAATATAGCTGCAGCAAGGATCTACCACATTGATATTACTTGTTGTTTCGTAAATATTCATTAGGTGATTGATAATGGACAGTAAGATTGCATTTATCACATGTGTAGCTTTGTTTTGTTGTTCCTTGTAATAAAGATTTTATTGATTTTATTTTATTGCACCGTTAGGTGTTGGAGCAAGGTATTAGAGCAGGTGGGCTCGCCCAGTGATGCGTGACACCCAGACCTTCGAAGTTTTGTTTTGGTTTGTTTCTAGGGACAACATGCAAGTGTAACATAAGCTTACATTTTAGAGGGGAGGGTTGAGTCATACTTTTAGTATTTTTCCGAGGGGGTTTCCTTATCATTCCTTTGTTTCATTTTAATTACTTATTCAATAAATTATACACTAGGGCAAGTTATGGTTTTTTAGATGTTTATCATATTATATTAGGCATAGCATGAATATTTTATGCATATTATTTGGGATACATAAAACAGTTGTGATGAGTGACAATACTCAACTGCTATAATTATAAATGCTGTTTTAATGGTAATGGTAGTTGTTTAAAATTAATTTGTAAATTGTTTGACTAAGGTGTTAAAAGAAGATTTTCTAATTAACCCTCTGCTACTGAGGTGCCTTTCTTATAATTACTGAGGAGTAGCCTGTCGGACGTATACTTTAGGTAAGGATTTTTCAAATTTTATTGTTAGTTATTGAAAATAAAACTGAATTTAGCAAAGTTTACATTATATTTCTTAAGCCATTATAAAAAACAGACCAATAAAACCATTATTTTAAGAAAATATTATTTATTACCGGAACCTTATGAATTATAGGAACATTTGTAATTAGGAACTTTGACAATCAAGAAAAAGAATAAAATTAAAAGAAATAACAAAAAAAAAACAACATAACATTGCCTTCTTCAAGCTTCAAAAAACAAAAAAACACTTAAATTATAAAAATCCTTACAGTGATTTTTTTTAATCAGTCTCAGAGTTCAGTCTTGCAGTCAACACAAATTTGTGAAGAGCACTGCAAACAAATATGTTTCGCACATATACAACAAACAAATCTTGTTTGTCGCTTCAATTTACTTGGGCAGATGCGACATAATTTTCGTTATGATGTACTAGGCTCATTAGA